ACCCCTCCGCCCCGCCCCATCTGCCCACAGGGTCACGGCTCGGCCCACCTGAAGAGGGCGCCATCGTCCTACACCAAGGCCAGGTGTCCTTGCCAGCTGCCACCAGAGCCCCTGTCCCACCCCCTCCGCCATAATTTGAATCAAAACATCACAGTCAGCCCGGCCAGTGGCGCACGCCTGGCATCCCAGCAGCTCGGGAGGCTGAGGCAGGAGGACTGCAAGTTGGAGACCAGCCTCAGCCACTGAGCACAATCCTATGCAACACAGGGAGACCCCGACTCTAAATAAAACGCAACATGGGGCTGGGGACGGGGCTCGGAGGCCGAGGGTTCCATCCTGGTACCCCATTAAACAGCTTACAGTCGCCGTCATTGGCTCGTGGCAGAGGAGGGCGTTGGTCACCAGCCCCGCGTGGGGCTGCTCCTCCCCTGGGTGCTCTCAGCCTGTGGGACGCCAGGTCAGGATTCCCTCAGGGCACAGGGAACTTGGGGCTGGGCGCTGATCCAGCGCCTCCTGAAGATGGGCACAGACTGCAAAGGCGCTGGCCACCTCCAGCTGCAAAAGTCACTTAAAAACAGATCATTGCCACCGTAGCCTGGGCCCGCCTGGCAATCAGAGGCTGAAGCCAGAACTAAGGGGAGGCCAGGAGGCTGGGAGGCAGGGACCAGCTGGGTCTGGGAAGGTGGAGACAATCCCCCGATGGCCAGGCCACCGCCTGCAGGGCCCTCTCTCCATCTGTATGAAGACAGCCTGCTGCTAAGGGAACCCGTCCCAGGACTGTCCCTCCCCACAGGGGCTTGGAAAAGTTGTTCGTGCATCTGCTCCCCACCTGGGCCAGCTCCTGGGAGAGACGGGGAGAGCACAGGACACCAGAGCAGGTCCCCGCTGTAAAAGAGGCAGAGCGTCCTCCCTCCTCTGGAGGCCAGCCTCAGCCCCCTCCTCCTCCATCCCGGGAGAAGTCCCCGTGACGCCCTGGTAAACACACCCTGCGGCAGGTGCTTGCCTCGGGCTCTAGGCGGAGTGCCTGGCTGCCAGACGCCATGTCACCGCCTCCTCTAGGAGAGTTCATTCATTCAACATCCACCAGAGCCCAGTGTCACCAGGTTCAGTCGGCAACCACAGCCTCCAGGGCACATGGCGGGGGTGTGGGGGGGGATGGGGACTGCGCTATTCTTGGTGCCAAGGGGGAGCCCTGAGTGGCTCAGGGCTTTGCTAAGTGGCTGAGGCTGGCCTCCAACTTGTGATCCTCCTGCCTCAGCCTCCCAGCCGGTGATGACCGGCCTCCGTGCTGGCTTGGCGAGGCCAGGCTCTCCCGCCCCAGTCCCCCTTGGCCACTCTGCCCTTCGACGGCCGCCGCGATCGCACACTCCTTCCTCGCGCTCTGCCCGAACCTCTGCGGACCCAACGTGACCCGGGTCCAGTCCTGTCCTCGGGGGTGGGGGCAGGGCTAGAGGTCCACCCCGCGCGTCGTCGAGGACGCCAGAGGCCAGGAGGCGGCGGGGTTTACTCCACTTCTCCGACCGCTGCGGGGGACACAAGTCCCCGCTGGGACATACAGGAGGGGACGGGCCGGGGTCGAGGGGCTCGGGTCCGGGGCGCTCGCCTCGGACACGCATAAAAATAAAGACCCCGAGTCCATCTACAACTAAAAAAAATTAAAAAGGAACAGAACGAG